GGAGAAAAAAAAGAAAGTTTAAATTGTTTACACATACTAAGCGACCTGCTTTTGCGTCAAGGTTTATGCACATCTACCTAGTTATAAATTAGCACCTAAAAATCTTGTGTGAATTTCTAGTTTGCATATATAGTTTAAATGCTGCCGCATCTGAACTTCATTGCTTATGCAGCAGGAACTATGTGGAACTGACAGAGCACTTCTAGGCAGTACAGATTATGTGAGGTTGCACAGAACAGCACCAAAGTTAGGGCCTGGTTCACTGCCCCTTGCAATCAAAGGAAGAGCTTTCAATGAGTTTGGGTTGGGCCTTTAAGTTTAGCTTAAGTAGTTCCAAGCAATTACTTTGTTTTGTTTCACTGAGCTCCACCAGGGCCCTATTTATTTGTAAAAATAATTATCACAAATCCCACGTTGTTAATTGGTGTCTCCTGGGGCAAGGATTTCACATTCCTTTGAACTGGTCAGCACAGAGCACAATGCTTAAGAAACAAAAATGGAATTTCTGAGTTTTTGTGACATTGTGGCTAAGCACAGTAAAAAATCCTGAGGCTGAATCAATTCAATCTTCACAGGTTTCTCCAAGCTGCATAGATTGAACAAATAATGAAGTGAACTGATGTTCATTTTTCAATCCAGAAGGGCAGCAGGATGCCTGCAGTAGCCCAGACTGGAAGCCAGGGGGGCACGAGAGCAGGCCTCCCAGCTTGCTGGCCACTGCCAAGGGCACCTGAATGCAGCCAGCAGGGCCCATCCCTGATTGGCTGCCTATCACTTGCTTCCCAACCTCTTGCCTCAGCTCTGTGACCGCCCAGGGTCAAAGCCAGCCCTGGTCAGCTGGAGCAGATGGTGCAGGCCAAGGCTAGCCTGTCCAGTCCCCCCCTGCAAAGAATCCTGGGCTGCAAGGGAACAGTCCCTCTAACCCAGGACCAAGTCACTGTCCCATGTCAGCCCATGCTGGGGTAACAGTACCTTCAACCCGGGGCACTGGGCATCAGCCCATGTGGGGGGATCTCTGTGCCTCAGTGGGGTTCCCCAGGCAGGGTCCCCTAAGCTCTGTTGCTGGTGTGGAGGGGGAATTTCTCTCTCCCACATGCTCAGCATGATCTGGTGCCAGCTTGGCCCCAGTCTTGGAGGGACTGTCCCCTGTTGTCCCGCCCCTCACCCACCTGCCGGAGCAGGGCTATGTTGTTACAGGACCACACAGAAGGGGGCAGAGGGGGCAATTACCCATCTGCCCCAGCAGCAGGGCTTGGGGGACCCTACCCAGAGCATGGAACCCCCTACTTAGGTGTGGGGATACCCCCCCATGTGGGCTGATGTGGGGCAGCAGCTTGACCCTAGACTGGAGGGACTGTTGCCCCTGCCCCCCCACCCTCCGCTCCTGTCGGGTCAGGGCTAAGCCAGCGCTGGACCACACCGAGGCATGGGAATGGGGAATTCTCCCTCTGCAATGCTAGCGGGGCCTGGGGAACCCCCAACTGAGGCTTGGAGATCTGGCCTGAAGGGACTTTTCCCCATGCTCCCACCTGCATGTCAGTGACTTGCGCAAGCCTGGGGGTTACCCTCACACACCAGGGATTGGGGCCGGGGTTGTGGAAGGGGGCTCTATTCCCCCACATCTGCCCACCCCGCTAGGCTGACAGCTGCAGTAGGACCAGGACTGCAAAACAGAAGCTTTGCTGCCTTAGCTCTGTGACAGCCCAGGGCCACCCTGCTTGGCTGCAGCAGACAACATGGGCCAAGGCTACCCTGCCCACCCTGCGAGGTGGGATTTGCAGGGGAGGTGCAAAGCATCTTGGGTTGCTAGGGGACTGTGAGTTAACGAGTCAGGAGGGGATCTGGGACAGAAGTTCAATAGACCTGTTTAACCTAAATCAGTTAAGTTTGGTACTACATCCATCCAGGTCTATTTTAAACCTGTTTCAGCCATTTTGAAACTGGTTTATGTGCACTGACCTTCTGTTCTTTTATAGGTTTAAACCAGTTTCCAGTCATTTAAACTGGTTTATGTGTAATGTCTGTGTCTAGCCTGAGTGATTGTATGCCCGGGCAAGAGAGTGAAGAGAATGTTACTTACATCAGAACCGTAATGCTATGGTGAGAACATCCATTTCCAAACTGGCACAAGGAACACCATCTTCTGCCCTGAACTTAAGACTTGGGGCAGACTGATGATAATTCTGACTGCCCTGTAAATTTCAGATGGGTGTCAATTCCCAGAGGTGTTATAGTATGTAGTGATTTGTACCCAGATTTGGTCTCAAATCTAGGTTTGAACCCGGATCCAAGATTCACACAAGAAATAAAAAGAGCAAAAATAAAATAAGTGAAAATAAAGCCTACTCACCTAAACCCCTTTGATCTAGTTTCAGAGCACCCAGACCCCTGTAATCTAGTTTCAGACAAATGACTCTTGTGTGTCAGAGATGGGCTGATAGCTTCATGTATCAAAACTATCTGTACAAATAGTGAGTACAAGTGAAACATCTTCCTGTATTTTTTCAATTCCATCTTGATGGGTCAGCAGTGGTTGTCTTAAATTATCATTTAGATTTTTAATCTACACTTCTCCTTATCTCTTGAAAGATCCACTGAGATTCTAAGTGTCTGGGAAACTAGTGAGACTTATTAATATGCCTTACATTGAGCTAGCAATCCCCTCTCCACCCTCTACCCCCCTCCCCCACCAAGCCATTAAATGCACATTCAGTGCTTCACAAATTTATGTCTGTGGGAAAATGGCTTAGTCATAATGATTGCATTTGACTCCTGACCTCAGATTCTGGCTATTTGATCAGAATTACCCGCAGGTATATAGAGCATGTGTCCAACTTGATTGTAACATACTTCCTTCCTATGGATCAGAAGCAAGTAGGCAGAGAAATTACCATAGTAGAGAGTGTTGTTGAGCTCTTGGCTCTGACTGCTTCAGAAATACACTTGATGTCAGCCCTCCATGGCAAGGGTTACTGTATATTAGCATAAACATGCATATTTGCATGTGCCAAGTAAATGTCCATGTATTACCATATGCTGATATGTGTATGTGCACATGTATATATTAGTCAGTACCTTCCTTGGTATTTGTGTAGAGCACAGATTATTCTAGGTCTATCCTAGGAGCTCCTATTGCAAGACCTGAAGTTTTGATTGTGTTTCATGCCAAATGCTGTGGTGCTATCACTTAATGACATTGTGACTTCATGTTGTGACACTATATCATTATGAGATGCTGCAACTTCATGCTGTGAAGACACAAATATCAGCTAATGATTATTTCTCAAGAGCAGTTATCACAGCAAAGCATTTTTCCTTCAGTCTCTTCTTAAAGGATTGTAGCTAATTTTTGCTAGAATTACTAACTGAAAGAAAACGAAGCAAGAAAGAAACACTAGTAACATGTCCATGAGGAGGGCATGACTGTTTGCCTTATGTAAGAATCATTAATTTATTGCAGCTGGACTGGGTTATTCACATTCAGGCCTCTATTCATGTGTGATTCATTAAGGCACTACTTTATTGCTAACGTAAGGAATAGGCTCCATATTGATTCCTTGGTATGTGGATTTGCCTCTGTATAAAGTGGATAGAGTTTGCTACTCACTTGCGGCCCTTCTGCAAGCTATCACCATCAAGGATCTTGTATTTCTCCCACCCACTGTAGTCCAGCTGCAAAGCTGACTGTCTAGTTACATTTGAATGTGGTATGTTCTGTTATGGTAGAAACACCACTGTATAATCTGCTTTACTGATGGATGAAAAGCAGGGAGAAATCTTTCGGGGGAATTGATTCTCAGCTATTAGTCAATAAAAAGACCCTGATGACTAAAGAGTATTTTGTCAAAACCATTTAATTATCCATATTAAATCACCTTATGCACAGGTTGTTCCTGCTTTTCATAAAAAGAAAGCATACATTTTCATCCCTATCTGAACCTGCCAGATCTGCCAGTCCATAGAGATTTGCAAGCACACAGAATTAGTGGCATGGAGAAGGTTTCTAGGTTACACACTGTTTTTTTTCTTTTTGTGAGGAAAGAAACCTGGTCATCTACTAAACATATCCCTGCACTTTATTTTTTCTTAGCAAAGAGACACAACTCTCTTAAATATTCTCCAGGTGTGTCGCACAACAGGCAGATCTTGGTGCAATGTGCTGCTGTCTGTACAAGGGCTTTTTCCATGATCACAACTCATTTCACCAGAGTGCTATGTTGTTTTGGTATTTTTTCATGGATTTCTCTGGTACTCAAAGGAGAGGACCTCAACCTTTGTTATGGGATTCTTATCCCTATTCTATCTGCTCTTTCATTTGCAACAAAAGAACCAACTAAATGGCATTAGATACCAGTGCCAGCTCAGCTATTCACCCGGGCAGTTGTATAGCATAGCATTAGCAACATGGTGTTAATCAGTGGCACACTGTTAGCTCCTTTTGGCATCTCTTTGGGCAGGGTGGAGAGTGACAATTACATGGGTTTACAGTGGAGATCGTTCTCTGACGCTCCTGATAAGAGGGAAAACGCTCTTGTACCACACTGCTGTGTTTTTAAACTTAACATCTTCTTCCCTCTGGTGTACTAGCTTTGGAAAACCTCCATGGAAAGAGTGTTGTTTGAAATGGAACCAATATCATGGTGTTAATTTGGGACTGAGAATGCTATTGTTAAATCTCTTGGAAGACATAGGAACAACACAATCCAGGGATAATAGCAGAACACTAAGAATGCCTAAGATACTTCTGAGAAGTTTCATAATGACATTCAGTTTTTGAGCAAAAAATAATAAATGGTTCTTTCTCTTTGCTTCCCCTCTTTTCCAGCGAGAGATGAGAATGTGGCCACCTTCCGTGGCTCAGAGTACCTTTGCTACGACCTGTCCCAGAACCCCATCCAGAGCAGCAGTGATGAGATCACCCTCTCCTTCAAGACATGGCAGCGCAACGGGCTCATTCTGCACACGGGCAAGTCGGCAGATTACGTCAACCTGGCTCTGAAAGACGGTGCGGTCTCCTTGGTCATTAACCTGGGGTCCGGGGCCTTCGAGGCCATTGTGGAGCCGGTCAATGGCAAATTCAATGACAACGCGTGGCATGACGTTAAAGTGACACGCAACCTGCGGCAGGTAATGGTGAAAGAGAAAGAACACTGGGGAGGCTTCTCTCTAGTACAGCTGGGCAGGGGAAAATGGGCAAGAATAGGAGTATTCAAGAAATGGGTTTTCAGCTGAATATATCAGAGCATCCATACCTATTTCCTGGGTCCCTCTTCGTTATTCAAGAGACAACGAAAGACCATTAGTTAATGGGAACTTAGCCCTGTAGCAGTATCTCCATTTACACTATTATTTTTCTATTTTCTCCCTAGTTTGATTTAATAATAAAACTTGTGACTTTACTTTCATCTCCCTTTTCCTTTGCTCTTTTTTCCATCCCTTCCTTTATTTTATAATTTCCTTAATTACATTTCAATCTTATCAGTAATATTCTCGTTGCATTTAATTACTATGGGAATAGAGTTGTTTTTTTTCAGTAGACAATGTTATACTCTCTTCTCTTCTTTACTTTTTTAAAGATTGATTTAACCATTGCCATGATGCCATACTTCTAATTCTAAAAGTCTTTGTTTCTCTCTCTACTTTTTTTTTGGGGGGGGGTGGTGTGTGTGTGTGTGTGGTTGTTTTAATTTAAAAGCTTTGGATTCAGTTGGAGGGACAGTTTCCATCTCTGTGATACTCTCTTCTTTATTTTTTTCTGTGCTGTGATCCTGCTTTATTTCTTAAGTCTCTGCCTATGAGACATTCTGGTGGCTGTGGGGACTGGAAAAATGGAAGGACGAAAGAAAACCTGAAACAAAACTACTTCAGAATGGCTTGATCTGATTCTTGCCATTGTAATTTTGCAACTCTGCCTGTTGCTATCCTAAGCAGCTGACTCCACAGGTGACAAGTTCTCTAGACAGCTAGCCTTAAAACACTAAAACCTCACTCATGAAATATAAATGCATATAAAAACAGATAAGATAAAAATAAATAACCCTGCTTTGAAAGCTGGTGAATATATTATATCTCTAAGGGTGGCCCATCCATTGTATGACAAATGAGGTTTACATTGTGGATACAAACTGGTGTCTTATTGATTGGTAAATGGTGTGTAAATAGCTTGTAAAGGGACATTTTCAAATCAGTTCACAGAAACAAAGTGATCTGTTTATTGCCTTGTTAATGTGAATGTTAACAGAAACCCTAATTGTATTATTCCAGTTTACACAACTTCACTGGCTGAGAGAGCAGCATTTTGAGAAACATTTGCGTTGGCTAAAATGAAAAATGTATATTCAATAACAAACTTTGCTTCAGGGCAAAAACAAAGTAACAGAGATATCTTCACACATTGGCATGCTACTGGATTATTGTCCGTTAAAAATATTTCACACCTCCCTTGGAAATATCAGATATTAGAGACAGGAGACCAGACTGGAGACTGTTGCCTATTGCCTAACCTAGTCGGGCAATTCCCATGTTTCTACATATGCAAGATGTTTCTATGTTAACTGGAATATTGTATCTAGTCAGTCCACACTCTGTTCTCAGTTACATGGGACTTCAGGGTTATCACTGAAGGCAACATTAGTCTATTTACACTTGTTTACATGCAGATGTAAATTTAATTTCTTATGCAATGGATGAGTCCTACCAGTCATGTTTCATTCAGATATACCCAATGGTTCAGTAGAGGGATATACAACAAATGTCTGTGGCCTGCCTGGAACAGTCTGAATATATGACTTTATTTATTTATTTATTTATTTTTCCATTTTCTTGATGTTTAGATGTTTTCAGAATGGCTGCTCTCTGAATATCTGTGCTTGGTTTATAGGCCATTTTAGTTAATGGCACTTTTCATTTTTCCGGGAAATCAGTTTTCAGTGGCAGAGAGTGCCTGGAGCGAAATGCATGTCGTGGTCCATGCCAGGGCTAGTTTAGATGTTGAGGAAGCGAGGGTGGGGGAATCAAAATTATAAATGGAACGTTTGCTTTTTTTTTTTTTTTTTTTTTAAACCTTTCAGCCAAGAGTGATTTGTCTTCTGAGTCCACAGCTGAACACAAACATCACTATGTCTTTTTCTTGGGTGACAGCAGTACTGGTCCCCAGTAGCAGCATCTGGAATTCTGTACAGTGCTCTAGAGCTCCTGTTTTGCCTGTTGAGTCCCAAGTTTGATCCTAAGTCCTTAGAAGTTTTTGCTTGACTGGCTAAGGGGTGAGATGTTACAGCAAGGCTTTTCTTTCCTTTGCAAAATACTATAAGGACTAACCTTATAAACAAACAAACAAACAAACAAAAACAAATAAAAATGACTGAGATGACTAAGGCCCGAATCCTGTAAGGTTCTGTATGCTCTTAATTTCTCTTGTTTTTACGGGGAAGCAAGACTTTGTGTGTCCTCTCACAACTGCAGAAAAATATTCCACACTGGAATGATTTATCTTCAATTAATATGTGCAATGAGGGATAGAAAAAAATAGTTGGTTTTGTTGGAGGCAGCCAAAATTGGTTATGAGCAGTAGATCTTGGTCTCATGCCAAAATAAAGAGGAGGAAGATCCTTGGAGTAAAAGCAGAGCAATTGGTGTGAAAGAACCTGGGTTCTATTCCTCCTGTTGCCACTGACTTCCTGGGCACATCACATATTCTCTCAGTGCTTCAATTGACTTATCTGTACAAGATGGTAATAATAATACTACTTACTGTATCTCACAGGTAGGTTGTGAGAATTAATCCAACAATATAAAGTGCTTTAAGAACTCCTGATGTGAGTTGATATAAGGGCATAGTTTCTTTCTTTATACCCAGCATATCACATGCTCCCTGCCAGCCCTGGCAGATATAAATTTATAGAAAAAGAATACATATGATACGTTATTTTTCCATAGGAAAGGCAAGTGGAGGAGCTGTTGTTGCTTCAGAACCATGCACATGTTCACAGCTCTGTTAGCAAAAAGGGGAACTAAAATATTACTCTGGGCGCTGAGGCTTCATAAGAAGCTCTGTTGCCTTTTCATTGTTGGCCAGGAAGATTTACATTAAGGAGGAAGACTTTTCTCCAAAACCCTGCAGTTTTGTTAACATAATGTTTTACTATGTCCCTGGGAATTAGATTAGAATTGCTAACATGTGTGACTCTGCTCAATACCTTTTGGTGGCTTGTTAAATGCTTGGTAGCTAAGCTAGAACAGTATCAAGTACTTTGTCTTCTTAGATCAAGTGACTAATACAGCAGTTAATCTCCTCAGAGACAGACAGTGAACCCAGAGTTCCCCTTGAGCAGTCACTGTTAATGTCAATGTAAATCTCTTTATTTATTCTTCTTATTATTATTTTAGTGAACACAAATCCCTAGTTCTGCCTTGTGTATTAGAAGCAGGATCACAGCTGCCTGTCACCAGCTCTCCAGAGCATGCTCAGGGGACAGTGAGATCTTGTGAGCAGAACAGGAAACTGGGGTTCTGAATCCCCAGGCTTTGCCTTCAGCTCAGCTAACGACTGTGTGACCCTGAAAAGTCACCTTCCTCGTTTATAAAATGCTGTTAATGGTTATGCTGACCTGCCACTGGACTTAGGAGGCATCTTTGAGGAAGGTGTCAGAGTACTTTAAGATCTCTTATTAGAAAGGACTAAGCAAAAAGTATTATTATTGTCCATTCTTTAAGGACAAATAAAATAGAGTTGGGGCATGATGTGACTGCATTGCTATTTCACATAATTCCTTCAAGCAAACATTTGTCCCTGAAAATCAACCCATGACTGTCTACAATACCCAGGAATTCAGTTTTGCAAGAGGTGGGATACATCCTCTTTTGCATACTTTTGAATTGTTTTGGCCTGCATAAATCAGAATACAGCTTTGAGTCCTGGGACATAAAGTGTCCATTCACTGCACTCCCTTATTGTTATTTAAGATGGCTGCATAGCAGAGTTTCTGCCACAAGGGAAATACATTCCCCAGATGTAAATTCTCCAGTACAGCTTGCCCATTCCTCCAGATGGGATTAAAAATGAACCCCAAAGTCCTGTTAAATTGAATTTGGTATTGTTGATAAGAGATATGACATATCTAGTTCTCCTTAGCTTTATATCATTGCCAACAGCTAGCTGGGCAATGGAAGCCAAACCTGTGAGGATAACAATGACCTCTTTATGGAGGGGTCATTCAGGAATGGAGATGTAATCTTGAAGACAGAAGGCAAGAAGCTTAATATTATCAGCCTTCTCTCCCTTGTTCTAAAATGTATGATGCACGCAATTGCTCTTCTTCCTACAGTACAGGGTTGTTTGAACTCTTGTACTCCCAGGTGGCACAGGTGAGCTACAGGAAAACATTGGTCTTTCGTGCACAATATGCCTTTCCTCAGTGGCACAAATTCACTTGCTTTCAATAAATCTGCTGATCAAGGGACTGGATAGACAGCCCCAGGATCTTGGGTCATCATCTCACCAGTCTTCAGCCAAGGGAGTTTTTGTTTGTTTAGGATAATTCTGGAGATCTAAGGGCAGTGTTGTTCTGAGAAACAAGGAGAGGGATGGTGGTGGGTGGGAGGAGGGATCACTACTGGGGTCTGCCCTGAGTGGGGCAGGCAATGTGTGTACATCAGTGAGGAAGGTACTTGGTGGTATGGGATGCACCCTGATGGGCTTTTGAAAAGTAAGTATTGAACCGTTTTAATTTTGATCCACTTTTTTATGAGTGGTATGGAAACGCGGGGATGTGGGGGCAGGGAGCGGGGAGGAGAGGCAGCTCCCTTCCTCGTTAACAGTTTAGCCAGCATGGTTTCCCATAGAGTCCTGGTCATATTGTCCTCTCTCACTCTGTGTGTGTCGGGCGCCCCACGCCTTTTTTTTAAAGACTAACACTAGACCATTCATGCAATGTGTCATTTTTACTAACCAACTAATGTACTAACACCCTAACGACTCATCTTTGCTTTTAGTTATTTTAATTAACAATCGTTCTGTTCACGATTTTTTAATTTCCTTTCTTCCCCCTTTTCCGCAAAGCACTCAGGCATTGGACACGCTATGGTAAACAAACTACATTGTCTGGTAGATATCATTCTTATTGTCTCTTTTTTTGGGTTTGCCGTGTGTTACCTGCCTTTTCCTCCCCTTGCCCCCTTTTTCCCCTTTCCCTTTATACTTACTTCCTCTTTTAATTTTCTTTTGATTTAATATTAAGCAAATTTTTTTCTTTTTACTTTTTAAAGATTTTTTTTCTATAAGAAAAAAGAAAACAACAAAAACAAACAGAACCGTTCTGCAAATGGGGTTTGGTGATTTCTTTCCTTGGTTTCTTCACTTCCCTCTTTTGTTCTTTGGTTCGGTTTCTCACCCGAATAATTTTTTTCTTTCTTTTGCTTTTTGGTTTATCTATCTTCTCTCTTTTTGTTTTGCTTTTGACTCTCAGAATGTTTTTAGATCAACACCATCGCAGGGCCTCTAGTTTGCTGTGTTGAAGGCTCTTTTTCTCTCATCCTTTTGTTGTGGCAGCAGCTGTTCTAGGCAAACTGGCCAGAGTTTTCCTCTTTCTCCCCACTTCCCTACCACTTCCCTGCCTCTCTGTCTCTCTCACACTTACTCTTTCTCTGACCTTCCACCTGCCGTGGCCGAAAGGAGCTCAGCCGGTTGTTTGTTTCAGTACACACTCTGCATGGCATGTCCACGTCTGGTGAACCACCCCTCTCCTATTGGCCTCAATCTTTTTTCCTCCATCTCCCTGTCAAATCACTAACAACATTTAAACAAAACACATCAGTTTCAGATGCTTCTCTCCCTCCCTCCCTTCCCCTTCCCCATTCACCCTCCATGTGTTTTGGGGATTTGGGGATTTTGGGGATTTTCTTTTTTTCTCTTTTTTTTTTTCTTTTCTTTTTTTTCTTTTCTGATTAGTTTGTTTTCCATTTGGCTTTTCATTTTTGATGATTGCATGCAAGTGTGAAGTAGGTCTCTCTCTCTCTGTCTCTCTTGCTTTTTCTCTTTCTCTCTCTCATTCTTTCTGGGCTCCAGATTATACTGGCATGGGCGTGTCAAAGTGCGGTGTATGCACGCTTTGCATTTTCTCTCTTTCTCTCCTGCTTCTCTCACACTTGTTGGTGTGTGGTTGATTTGATTCAATTTGTTTTGTTAATTTCTTTATTCTTTTTATTTGGGTTGTGACTCAGCTCTTTTAAAATTGATTTGTTCCTTTATTTATTTATTTTTTTGGTGGTGGTGGGTGGTGGGTGTGTGTCTCCGTAGGTACATGGCATGCACATCCATAATGTATTGAAAGTGAGATCCCTCTCCCCTACCCTTCCTGAATGCATGATCGTTAGTGTGCCGTGAGCAAAAAAATAAATAAATCAAAACCATAACCAAAAATATCAACTTCGTCTTCATTAGTGCTTTTACTAACGACCGTAACTAACAATAATCATTAAAATAAATGCTAATCAATCATAAAAATCAGCTAAGACAAGCAGTCTCTTCCAAGGACAGTTCCATTTTCTAGCCTGATGACGTGGAGAGCATCTAGATGGGTAGAATGCCTGCTTGGCTTGAGAGTGCTAAGGTAATAATGCAGGGATAATAGAAGCTAGGTGGTTTCTATTATGGGCAAAGCAGACCAGAAAATGGAACGTCGCTGCACAAAAAATAACAAAATAATCAAAAAACAAATCTTATTAATAAAAGTGACATAAAACATAGGGGAGGTGACGTGCCTTTTTCAGGACTGTAAGGTCATTGCTGGGATCTTTTTTTTTTGGTTTGTTGTGTCCCTTGAACAGGTGACAATCTCTGTGGATGGAATCCTCACCACAACAGGTTACACACAAGAGGACTACACCATGCTCGGCTCAGATGACTTCTTCTATGTAGGAGGGAGCCCCAGTACAGCAGATTTACCTGGCTCTCCAGTCAGCAACAACTTCATGGGCTGCCTCAAAGAGGTAAAGTTTTCATGCTAATGATATTTTACTGTTTGCTGACTGCTTTTTGTGGGGATTGGGGCTGGGAGTTGGTTTCCCCAAATTTTCTCTGTTTCCTGCTCCTTGTTGTATCCTGAATGTCTTTAGCTGGAGCTGAATCTTACAGTGACACTGCAACTACTGTGTGATAACAGGGTGATCATCAGCCAGAAATAAGGCATCAGCAGTGGAGGCTAGGACCTTAGGTTCTATAATTAGGCCTCTCTTGCTTGAGTTACAGAAAAATTTCAAATAACAGTAAGGCAGTTGCCTTTGCAAGGCTGTCAGCCACTAAATGGTATACATGAGTAAATATTAGGATTGTATCTGAAGGAAACAAGGCAAATAGTTTTCTGCTGCTAACCAGCATTTTCTGTGGTCAAGGGGAAAAAAGCATAGTCAGTCAAAATATGGTGTCCTTGCTAAGTTACTTAACACAGGAATAGGAACAATACTAGCTAAAATAGTGAAGTGATTGTCCCTAAAAGTACAACATATGATGTTAAAGTTACAGCCCAAATATGATTAGAGTTACTGATGGCACTGTAGTGATCACCATTAAGCATTTGCCAGTGTTCTTCTATGAAGTTGGTATCTAAATATGTTAAGTTGTTTCTTTATTTAGGAATCACAGTTATGGCATCATCCTGTAGTAACCATTGCTATATGTTGACTTTTTACTGATACCTAATATCAGAGCCTTCTTGCTGATGGTTTCTTGACCCCCTGTGTCATTGCACACACTATTGTTTTGGAAGTTTTCTGTTGAAGGGCATTGTAAATTTTGAAACAATTGCTCTAGACAGCTTTTTAGTCAATTTAGAATTGGGGTCGCTTTCAACCACAGTCCCCATACCACTGTGCAATTCCAAGAGATGTGGCTGAGTCTCTGGTTTATGAAGTATATCTGGTTTGGTTTGTAGCCATAGATTAGATGCCAGTAAGCCCTCCCTCTTCTTATCAGGATATATGGTGAAAGGGAAAGTAGAAGAAGTGTTTCTTGCAGAATCAATTAAATGAGTAGTTTTAAGCCAAATGCTCTTTTAAACCTATAATTGCATGACAATTGTGTCATCTCACAAATGGGTATCATGCGTTTGGAGACAGGATGTTCCCAACTGGTTGGATGTTGTATCAAATCTGCCAGGTGTGTCACTTGAATGATATCCCTCAGAGTGCTGGAACTGCTGTTTTCCCTAACCTTCAGGGTCAGCTGAAAGGGATGCATACATGTTTCTGGAAATTAGCATCTGTTTTGGATGAACTCTTATGTAATAAATAAAACTTTCCTGCTGCTTGAGAATGTGATTTCTTTTGTACAGGGACAACATCTTTATGTCTTTCTGTAGCATAGGGCCTCATAGGCACTAAGTATAAAGATACCAGTTGAAGTCAATAAAAGAGGCCATGTTTTTAGTATCTCTGAAAATCCAGTATCTTAACCTATTTTGAAAGTACTGGTAATAAAAGGAGAGACTATTTTTACCTCTAAATCAGGGGAATAGAGGAAACAACTGCAACTGTATTTAATCATTTGTATTTTGGTAACACACACGAGATGCTGCGAACTATTTACACATATGCAGCCTGTCCTGGTCCTGTAAAGCTTAGTTTAATACGACAAGCAATCTAAGAAGGTTAGACAAGAGACAGTAAAATACTTGTTTGCAACCCCTGTTTTTATCAGCAGTGATGGAAAATGTGTGGCGAGCGACCAAACCTGCCTGTCATGGGGTGCTGACCTGATATCAGCTGATTATTGGTAAATTGACTGTAGTGACAGCCATGCAGCTATCTCTCATGAAGATGTGCATGCAATATACAGGGTCTTTATAAAGTCCTTGTGCACTTTTAAACTTTAATAACTTAGGTTGTAGGTATGAAAGAAACAATCTGTAAATGACATTTAAAAGCAAATTTATTAAAGTTTTAGGACAACTAGAGTACATAATGCTAGACTTCAACATAACTACCATCCATCATGATAGTGCTCAATCCCATCTTCCAACTCCTTGAAAACATTTCCCAGTTGCTCTTGAGTTACTGCACTAATTGCACTGGTGATCCTAGCCCCAAGTTCCACCAAAGAATTTGGTTTTGACAAGTAAACTACACTTTTAACATGTCCCCATAAAAAGAAATCCAACAGCGACAGGTCAGGTGAATGAGGTAGCCAAGCAATTGGTCCATCTCTGCCTATCCACTTCTCTGGGAAAACATCATTTAGGAACTGTCGTACATTTAGAACGTAGTGGCATGGAGATCCATCTTATTTAAGAATAAATTTGTTATTACTTATGAAGTCTAGCATTGTGTACACTAGTTGTCCTAAAACTTGAATAAATTTGCTTTTAAATGCCGTTCACAGATTGTTTCTGTCATACCTACAAGCTAAGTTATTAAAGTTTAAAAGTGCACAAGGACTTTATGAAGACCCAGTATACTAGCGTGCTATGGCCTACTGCAGAATCCAGGGCCCTTGTTTAGAGCATACTTACCACAATCCAGTCCATGAATGATTTTTGTTCTGCAATTTCCTGTTCAAGCTGGTTGTTGGTGGCATTCAGAGAACTGGGTTATGTGGTCTGAGGAAGGAGGGGCAAGGAAAATGATGGAAACAACTATATTTTGAATGGCCTGGAGGGATATAATGTGGGCATCTAAGAGAGTAGAGGAGAAGGTTATCGCAATCAAAATAAGAGGTGAAAAACACCTGGGTAAGCATGTTAACTGTAATGACACAAAGGGAAAATGGAATTTAAATACTGTGAATTCAATTTCTTTTTGCTGGGCAAGAGTGAAAGATTCCTTGAGTTCTGTTAGGGCCCATCCATTTGAATCTAACTTACCTGGAGGCCCATGCTTGGATAATGTGGAGGCCCATGCTTAGATAATGCAGAGGGAGATATTGTAGAAAACTTTAGGATAATAATATGGCTAGTATGGAAAATGGAAAAAAAAATCTCATTAGCTCTTCAACCTTTTTTTCCATCTACATTCTAGCAATCCCTTCCCCTGAATTTTGGACCACATTGGCTAACAGACTGTTGAAATCAATGGGATTTGGATATGGATGGGATGGGCAGGCAAGGGAGGGGTGAAAGTGAAAATGTTTCCTGGTTCCTGGAGGCGCCTGACTGTGGAGGACAAGGGGTAGGAGGAATGTGGCTCTGAAAGCCACAGGGACATGCCGAACTCTGGTCTCTGCAGTAGAACCACTAGGATCCAGTTTTTCAAGAGATGCTTTTGTGAGCTGGGGTTTTTTGGTTGTTTTTTTTTTTTTTTTTTCATATTCCTGATGCTGCATGCAAGTCAGGTCTTTTTGCAGGCATATGACCATTTGCATGAATAGTGTTAATAGTGGCATAACTTCCATTTGGAATGAGTTCTTTTGGACAGGGCGTGGGGTTACAATAAACAAGGTGAGGGCGCAGGTAGAAAGAGAAGGCCTGAGGACTTGTGTGTGGGGAGAAGGCCAGAGGTGAGGCAGAAGCAGCAGGTGTAAGGACAGAAGATGGCAGCCTAAGGGTGAAAAGGGCAGATGGTGAAAGACCCGACAGTGGTGGGATACTGTCCATAGCAGTGAGGCCAGACAGCTGGAAAGCATTTGGCGCCCAAGTCCTAGTTCCAAAGCAGCCTTTTTAACAGCGCCCCAGGAATCCATAAGAGGAGATGGAGAGACAGAAATCATTAGCTGGAGGAATTTCATTGGTGCTCTGCTGAGGCAGTTCGAACATGAACTGCATTAATTACACGCAAGCAGCGGTCTGACACTGCTCCTCCGGCTCCTCTGTTGTGTCTGGATCAGTCTGTTTATTTATCTTGTTTCATTCATTTTAAATGAAAATGAATTTAATTTTCAAAAGAGAACGTGAGGAGCAAATGGTGCTAGATAGAGGCAGGCACAGCATGGCCAGAGGCTCTTTGTCTGCAGCATCCCCAGACAGCCTTACTAGTACCTCATGACCCATATCCCCTCCTGTTTTCTCAGGTTCTGTCCTACAGAAAGTTCTGCCAACGCATGTCTGTGCCACCTCTGTACTGCACATGGGAGCACTGCCCTGCCTGCTTGTGAGCCAATGCAGGCATTTCAGAGCAGCCTGAGCATGTGTCAATAAGTGACCCTGAGACAGAGGGCCTGTGAGTGGCAACAGCTGCGCCACTCAGTGCTGCGCTAATGCACCAGTGCCACCTGGTTTGGGGAGCTGGTGCAGGTGGAGCAGAAGTGAGATGGCAGGGTGTGCATCTGGAGATGGGAAGAAGGCAGTGCAGGCATGCCCACATTCCTGACCTGTAGCACCCTTTGCTATTCCAGTGCTGGGACACCCTGGACATCTCTGATGATGCATTTCAAGACTGCTCTGTAAGGCAGGCACCATGTCTTACTATGCGTCTTGCATCCAGCAGAAGGAAGCATCATTCCTGATGGAAGATATTGAGTGCTTTGTTTTTAGAAGTGTTTAAAACTAATACATTAAATTGGCCTGGAACACACAGCAAGGTTGGTACCTGCCAAAAGGTTGAGCAAGGGAGAGTGTAGAGAAGTTGGTGAGGAGCGCAGGGAAGAAAGTAAGGAAGGTGCCAATTTTAAAGGGGACATGGGGACCCCAGAGGTTGAGGAAAGTCTGACTGTGGCAAGTAGAAAGCAGTGCGATAGGAGGCAGGGTGCTGAGAGAGGAACAAGGAGACAGTTCTTCTTTTTTGCATTCCACAGAATTTCCAAGTGATGCTGGGATAGGGGCCAATTTTCATGTTCTTACTCTGGCAGTCCCTGTCATCCCTTGTTAGCTCAATGTAAGTCATCATCTGGCAAGGAACAGTAGGTAACAGGAAATCCCTTACCTGGCTGGGTTCAGGCTGTCCACTTGGCTGATAGAACCTTTCCTAGGCTGCGTGGGGGATGCCAGCAGCTCTGTCAGGACATTTGAGCATGAATTCTGCAAGCCTTTCTTCAGTGCACAGAAGGGAGCACAAGTTTGCTG